AGGTTCAGATGATTCACCAGATAAGCAGTGAGCTCTTCAGGGTCTTTGACTTTGAGGAAATGTTTCAGTAAAATCCACATCTGTGACATGCAGATAGCCCAGTTGTACAGTGACTTGCCTGCTCCTTTTCACTCTGAATGATTTTATTTTTTCAGTTTGCATACACGCCAGCTCAGTCTTTGGCCTTACAGTTCCTCCGTGGTTCTAAACCAATGGGCAGAGTTTCCTGGCCACTACTCCAGCCCCTACTGAAGCAATTCCTTCATCTTCCAAGTCTCCAGGGTGGCCCCTATGCACCCGGCCTCTCCCTGATCCGTCAGCCCCCGGCCACCCAGACTGCTTCTCAGTCCCTATGGTTTGGCCTTTTCCAGAATGGCCCAGGAATGGGAATCCTACTGTGGTAGCTTATTGAGTCTGGCTTCTTTCCCTCAGCAAAATGCATCTAGGATCCACCCACGTTCGTGCGGGCATCACTGGCTCATTCCCTTTTCTCACTGTGTCTTCCGTTTGAAGGGAGGACCAGACTTGCTCTCCCCATTCCCATGTTGAAGGCTGTCCCTGAAGGCTCCGTGTGTGAGTGATGATGAATCAAGCAGTGAACATGGCATGCAGGTCTCATGTGGATGTCAGTTTTCAAATCAGTGAGTTCAATATCTATGACACTTTGAGGACGTGCGGTTCAAGTCCATTGAGCTTTGCGAGCCACTGCCCAACTGGCTGCCAAAGTGGCTGTGCATGTCACGTTCCCAGCAGAGCAGGATGACAGTTTCCAGGACCCCTAGTCCACCCAGCATTTGGTGCTGTCAGTGTTTCCTGGGGAGGCTCATGGGCCCTCCATCCTGCCACCCTCCCGTGGGTCCTACCGTGGGTCCCCGTGGGTCAGGGAGAGCACCTTTCACCATTGTGCATGATTTTGTTTCCTGCCTTTTGTCTCCTCAGGATCCTCCTGGGCTCTGGCCCCACATGTTCCAGTCTGGCCCAGGGCTTGGAACCAGGGGCTCAGTTCATGGTGCCAGCTGCTCCCTGGGCCAGGAGAGGTCTTGACAGCTCTGTCATCCCTCCTGGGTGACCCTGGCCTCTTCTCCGGGGGAGCCCCCATCCCTTTCGTTCACTCCATCTCTGCTGGGACCCTGTGGCTCCCGTAGGCTTACTTGGCTCCATATTGATATGGAAAGAAGATGTGATTCCTTAGTGTCCCGCTCATGTCCACGTCAATCTGGTGGATGTGTTCAGATGACCTCTTGCCCTTCTCCTTCATGACCTGTAGGGCAGGGCCAAGAGGAGGAAGCAGCCTCAGAACAGATGGAAGACTTCTGGCCCCAAATGGCAGTCAGCCCACAGTCAGCACTCCGGGAAGGAAGGGAAGCAGGAAGGTTTCCTTCTGCACAAAGCTGCTTTTTGGCTTG